CTTTCAGAGGAGGTAGAACTAGAGGGGTATATAATTTGTACCTTTAGTTTGGGTGCTTGGGTTCTTTAAGCTATGTGACTCACAACTTTCCATATTAATTTATGAGAGCTGTGCTGATGATAAATTTTATGTAAAAGATCCTAGGAAACATCTCTTTCCTTTTTACATGCCTAAGGGACTGGGAGTCAGCAACCAAACTGCCAGTGGAATGCATCTGTTTTTCATTACAAAGGGGCAAGGAATAGACCTCTGAGTTTTCAAATTCCTTCATGTGTAAAATGGCAATACTGGGAACATTACCTACAGTAATTGGGTAACTTGAGATCCTTAACTGATAGTTGCTGTAATAATTACCAAAATTTCCAGTATTAGAAAACATTAAACACCTCAGCATTTTGTCCTCAGAAATGCTACACCTGTCAGGTTTGGGTGGTTTAGAACAGCCTTGTTTCCCATATTTCAAGAGTCCAGTGATGGCTTTGTCATATTTTCAATGTAAGCTAGTCATTAAGAAACAGTAAAACTGATTTTTTTTCCTTTGAGGTTGACAATTACTCTGACTTTTTAGTCTTGATTGGCTGTTTCCATGCAGATGTCCCTGCAAACAAAAAGTTTAACTGTATAAGACACTTGACTAAAGGTAGAATTAAAGCGTAAGCATAAATGGTTGTAGGATGAAGCTTTCATGGGGAAGCTAATAAAGTGAAGTGTATGATAATTACAAATCAAAAAGATTTACAGAACTAGAGAGCACCTTACTGTATGGACTGTAGTACTCTGTTCCATACCTTTAAACCATGTACAAGATCTTTTGAATACTGGGGGTTTTTTTAATAGGACTGCTAAATCAGCTTTGGAAAGGATTTATCAGTTCAATATTGAACTCCTAGATGTTTATTTTTCATGAACTGGATCAGAAATTGGAATATATCCTGTTCACTTCAGTGAGTTTTGGAGGTCAAATTCTAAGATGATCCAGCTCTTTTTAAGTGTTGCATCCTAAATGAAAATATTGCTGAAGACTTTTGAGAAGCGCTGAAAATAAACCATATGTTTAGGTTTCAAACATTTTCAGTACTAAAAAACATTTTAGTTGCAAAATATTTACCTGTTCTTTTCTACCAAGCCTGGCAGTTCCGAGGAGGTCTACTACCAAAACTGGGTTATCTTTATCATTTACAGCCAATGTACAGTTTTAGCAAAGACTTCATTGCTGCAGCTAACATCGTTATAAAGGGCAAGCTGATGTATTCACTGCTGTTTTACAGATCTGCCAGGCATTATAACCTATTACCACATATACAGTTAATCAAGTCAGCAGTACTGCAAGAAAGCTAGAGCTAATGAACGGTCATGAACGGGAAATGACAAAAGACATTTTCACGTTTAACCCTTAATCATAGACCTCTGTATTTTTATCACTACAGACATAGTGCAGTCAACAACACTGACCAGCTACCTGTAGGCAAGTCTTTTTCTTTCTTAATGACAAGTTGGAAGAGCTAAAATAAACCTATTTCAAATAGTGCAGGCATTTTCCTTATTTGTTTTGAACATTTTTCCTTTAACGAGTTTTGTCTCATTACATTTCATACCAGAAGTAACTTTTTATCCCTTCAGGCCAATGAAATGTTGTTCAGTGGAAGGAAGCTGACTGCCCAGGAAGCTTGTGCCAAAGGACTCGTCTCTCAAGTGTTTTGGCCGGGAACATTCACACAAGAAGTAATGGTTCGAATTAAGGAACTTGTCACATGTAATTCAGTTGTAAGTTTCCGTTATTTTCTTACAATACATTTTTATGATTGGATTAATAAGAATTAATCTGGGTATTATTAGACTGTGTCATTATGTCCTTCTAAAAAAAAAGAGACCATTTTCACAAAACAAGGACTGCATTTTAGTACAGCCCTGTCTTTTAACACATTCTTATGTATCTTTTTGTTTCAGGGTTTTTGAGGACTTTCTTTAAGTTTGTATCTGATGACTCTTTGTCATCTGCCAGAGTACATTGTGGTTAAGAACATTAAAACAGCATTGGACTCTTTACAATATATTTTGGGTTTAACATAGTTGCCTAAGTCCAACTTATTTTAATCAACAGTCTAAAAAGTTGCCCTATGAACTGCACAGAAACACAGAAATCTTGAGTTGTAATTTAACATCTTGAGTCGTAATTTAAATTACCAAGGAAACAAAAGCAGTCTTGGACATGATGTTGAACTTAGACTTATACAAGTAACAGCTAATGCGGTTGTGTGCACTACTGGCAATTGCACAAGAGAGCTGAAACTCCCAATATTTGCTGCTTTCTTACGAGAAGAGGTGCAGTACAAATTAACTGTTCTATGCATTAGAAATTTTGGATTTTGAAATAGATTCATAGTTTTCTAAATGAAAAAACAAATGAGATTTTTCAGTCTATTTTAAATGCTCAAGAGCTTCAAGGTCTGCCTGGTTATTAGAGCAGTTCTGGAGAAGAGTGTTATGATTAGCCTTCACCAAAATGGAATCAGAGTTTTCGCTAGTTACCAGTACAAACCCATATCTATATATTAATAGTTATGATTTTATGATCTTCATTATTTCTGCATTTTTGTGTGCCTGTAAATTGTGCTGGTATAAGGTAAAGGAAATCCTGTGTGACGCTACGAGAAACGTTTCTCAGGGTCATAGTATGTCCACGAATCCATAAGCTTAAGTTCACAATCAACTTCAGGATTCGTCCATACAAACCTATTAAGCGCGCGTCTCGCTCAGTTCTCACGTAATACTAACCCAAGTCCCTTTTTTGGCCTAGGTACTTGAAGAATCCAAAGCTTTAGTACGTAATATCATGAAGGTGGACTTGGAACAAGCAAATGAAAAGGAGTGTGAAGTTTTGAAGAAAATCTGGGGCTCAGCACAAGGGATGGACTCAATGTTAAAATACCTGCAGAAGAAAATTGATGAGTTCTGAGGAGATGCCCATTGACACTGGAATTGTATTTCTTGGACAACAGGGCAAACAAAATGAGCCCATTTTAAAAACCTATATAAACTCACCCCTCGCTCAGCTTGGGAACAGGAGTGGACTCCCCCCCCCCTCCCCTTTTATTGTCAAGGGGTTTGAAAGTACTGTATCACTTAAATTTGAACAAAACTCCTTTCTCCCTGATTGTTATGTATAGATATATACACACACACAAGTGTGTGTGTGTGCATATATGTCTTTTATAGATATATATAAAAATGTAATATCTGTGTGCGAGTGTGTATGTAGACACACACACACAAGCTAAAAAAAAAAAAAAGATAGAGTGCACTACCAAACATCTCTTCAAAGGCTCTAGTTTTTATTATCTTTGGCTAGTACTGTATCAAATAGAGAATGGATTAAAAAGTGAATGGTGTTGCATTATTTTCTGTGTGGCAGGGAAGTCTGGAATAATGCTTTTCTTTTTCATTAGAATACAGAACTGAAACGGGTATTAGCCAGCCCTTACTTTCACTGCCCAAGGAGTCAGCTAAGACAGAAGGCATTGTCTCAGAAGAAGGTTGAAATACCTCAAGTCATAGAACATTCTAAAATTCTGGGGAATTAAACCCTGTTAAGATGAAATCACACAGATCCCCAAAAAGAGAGTGTGCTCAGGATTAATACTAAGAAAACACTCTGTCCTTTTTGGGGGGAGGTATAGAGGGGTGGGAGGAAGGGGGCAGGAATATGTTTGATTCTTACCCAGATAGCATGAAGAAACCACTGTCTCTTGGGGAAGGGGAACGAGGGGAAGTGGGAGGGAAATGGAAGGGGGAAGAAAAAAAACACAAAAAAAAGCTTGTTTTGCAGTATTAGTGAATCACTGAATATCTTATCTATGAATATCCTAAGTTATAAGTTAGTTTTAGTGGGTTTTTAAATAGTCTCTCTGGGTTTGTTTTTTTGTTGGTTTTTTTTTAAATAACTACATAAGTGCTTCTGTTGCTGGGTGAGAATACTACTTTATACACAGTTTGGGGTTTGGTTTTGGTTCTTTTTTTTTTCCTATTTGCTGGTTTAATTGATGTATTACACCAAAAAATGCATTTTATGTTCATAAATTTTAGGTTCACTTAGAATATATTATTTAATAAGTTAAAATTCTTTTGGCACACTATTAAGTAAAAAAAAAAAACTCCTTTAAAAAAAACCTACCTTATATTAGATGTTTAATATGTTCTTTGTCTATGCTTTTTTATTATTTTAAATATACACTATATACAGTATGGTGTAAAAGAGTGCCCTGTGTAAATAGACCTATTTTGCATTCCTTTCAGGAGTGGTTATTGATTCCTGACTGCAGATATCTATTATTACTTGGGTATCTGTGCTTGCAATCTTATTGAATGTATTATGAAGAATGAAAAAGAAATCAAACCTTATTTTTGTACAGTTTTGAAGTTTTTACTTGGAACTGACCCACCTCCCCTTCCCAGTGGAGAGCTGTACAGTGTGTAAATCTGCCTTTACCTTGGATTGGTACAGTATTTTTGCATCTGTGGGACCTACTTTTTTGTTCTAGTAGTTTGAACTATATATAAACTGTACAATCTGTAAAGTTTTTATAGAATAAATATTCAGCTGTGAAAACTGGTTAAATAAAACTAATATTTCTTAACACATTTTAAACGTGCTTCTCTCATGTAGTTGTCTTTTTCAAAGACGTGTCAGTTCTGATTTTAAAGTAATAGTTGCAGAGACAAATCTTGCAAATTAAAGACTTCAATATTTATGTTTCATTTTGTTAAACTTATATAAGCTTTTAACAATTTCCTTCAAATGAAAAGTTAAAATTTAATTTATTGCTGTAAACTATATAGAAATTTTCTCTTGGAGGAGGGGGATGGGGAAAGAAGACAGATGGGAAGTCATCCTACTCTTAATTATTTTGTTACAGCTCTAAAAGAACACTCAGTAAATGTTTCTTTGTAATCTGTTAAAACCAGGTCATTTTCCCTAGGGTGCTGTGGCAAAGTGAGAATTCCCGAGTTGAATTTGATTTTATTAAAAGGGAGAAAGAAAGATCCCTTACCTACTGTTCTGCAACTTCTTTAAACCTTCTGGAGTTCAACTCAAATTTATGTGACGATCCCTTTTCTGGCATCTGTAAGAAGCATTTGGGCATAGATTGCAGCTACTTCAGCTGGAGGATTATTGATGCTTTCCTTAAAGGTGTAAGAACTTCACTATAATAGAGGACAGGATCTAGAGATATTTAGAAGAATTAAATCAGTTGAAGGTGCAGGCAACAACTGGAAAAATAATTCTACTTGCTTCACCATTTGTACATTAAGATGTGAACAAGTTGGTGTCCACGTAAATTCCTGTCTTTGACTGAAAAGAGTCCTTAGTTCAGACCAACTCATACACAGTGTCACTGTGCAACTGCCCAACCTTGCTATTAAAAGCAGTAACTTTACACTTAACAAATCATGCTCCAATTCATAAATAACATACACATTTTGTCTCTATACTGGATAAGTTTCCTTTAGGAAAATACTGTCCAGTTTTTTCAGTTTCACTCCCCCCCTCTGTCTCAGTGGGATGGGGAGAGAATCAGAGGAGTAAAAGTGAGAAAGCTTGTGGGTTGAGATAAAGACAGTTTAATAGGGAAAGCAAAAGCTGTGCACTCAAGCAAAGCAAAGCAAAGCAAGGAGTTCATTCACCACTTCCCATGGGCAGGCAGGTGTTCAGCCATCTCCAGGAAAGCAGGGCTCCATCACGCGTAACGGTTACTTGGGAAGACAAACGCCATCGCTCCGAAAGTCCCCCCCTTCCTCCTTCTTCCCCCAGCTTATATACTGAGCAGGACGTCCTATGGTCTGGAATAGCCCTTTGGTCAGTTGGGGTCAGCTGTCCCTGCTGTGCCCCCTCCCAGCTTCTTGTGCACCTGGCAGAGCTGAGAGCTGAAAAGTCCTTGGCCAGTCTATGCACTACCCAGCAACAACTAAACCATCAGTGAGTTATCATCATTCTTCTAGTACTAAATCCAAAACACAGCACCATACCAGATACTAGGAAAAAAAATGAACTCTGTCCCAGCTGAAACCAGGACAGTCAGTAAATATCCTTTGATGTGTGTGAAAGTTAAGTCTAGTTTAGTCTTTGCAAAACCATAACAAAGAAAAATGGCAGACTACTTCTAATAGCAAGCAAGAAGGCCCAAGAGATCATAAAAACTGACTTAAGGCATTTTTAAAATGAGTGTTTTCAAGGCTTTTCTTCACAGAAGACCCAGGTCTTTGTCAGGCCTGATTCATTGCTGATGCTTGTATTCTTGTTCTACATAAATTTGCAGTACTGCATAGATAACTTACCTGAAGCAGCATCAGATTTAGCCTCTGATGACTGAATGCAACTGGAGCCACAAAGGTGTGGCTGGGCCCAAAGAGCAGCACGGGCAGGCTGCTGAAGGCAGCGTTACTTCCAAGGCACTGGGGCTGGAGTCGCAGCCTCACAGAAGCAGCAGCACTTCACTTCAAAACGGCTGTTCTGTGTTGATTGTCGTACTGATGTGTGAACAACTGGTACCTGGAGAATTTTAGAGCATCATGAATCGTTGAACCCGGGTGCAACACAGAAATGGTATCTTTCTGAACAATGCCTGCAGGAACTTCCATATGGCTTTTTTTTGTTTGTTTGTTTTTTTAAACAGAAAAGAAGTTTTCCTCATTTTTTACCTCCTTTGGGCATGAAGACAAATCACACCACTGGTTTAGGTGTCAGCAGTCTGGTCAGTGGCTTGTAGAATTAGGAACAATGGTACGGGAATACAAAATTCAGCTATTTTAGCCTTGCTCAGGCCTGACCCCCAAGTCTCCTGTCAAGACTGTCTGCTGTCTTGATTGCATCACTGTACTACACACTCTGTGTAGAGACACCCTGTAAGGCAACTGTCAATGTTGGTGCTGAAACTTAAAAGAAGTAGCACAGGAGCCTTGATAGTGCAGTGTAGGAATCTCCATGACATTCTAGTTCTCTTGCTGAAACAAGTAACCTCTCAGGCACTAGCAAACAGCAACATGACAAGCATCGGCAACTGGGCTGCATTGAGGCCACAGAGTATGCTTCCCCCATGAAAGTTCCGTCACATTCAAGTTTATTTTTGGAAGTAAATAAGAGAACTTTTCTCCTGGTCAGGAAACAGTACCAGAGAGCCATGGGTTGAACATACTTGGAACTGTTTGAAAGCCACCTACGTACACTTAACCACACCTTCTGCTGATACCTTAGCTTGAGGAAAAACAAAAAGCAGAGCAAGGTTTTAGCTCTGGGTAAGCTAACCTAGAACAAAAGGTATTTGGGGGTAATCTGAAGATCTGAACTCACCTATAGGTCTTTTCCTTGTTCACACTTCCTAATTTGCAGGAATCCAGGATTTGAGGCAGTTTCCTTCAGTGAGTCCTTCACTGGGTTTCTGACTGCTAGAAGACATTTCTCTGCCTCAGAAGCTGCACCATTATCATCCTGAAAACAAAGTTTGGGGGAATTAAATCATCTTTGTAGGTGAAATTAATTTCTTAAAGTCAGGCATACTTAAAAAGAAGAGAAAAACACATAATGCTGAGCTATAAACTGCTTAAATTTACACTGATATATTTCATACTTTACCCAAACAGTGGATAAAATAGGACTGCAAACATCTAGGGAACAAGGTGGCAAACAAAACATTTCTGGCCGAGTGGACAGGAGAGACTTTCTTCAATAAATGGAGCTTATACTGTACCTAGGTTTGCTGGTGGAGGCTGAGGCACTTCACATTCATCTGGGACATGACAAGGGCGCTTCCAAAGAGAGTAGGAGGGAGGAGATACCTCAACTCAGTTGCAGTTTGCCGTATGATTTTCCATCCTAAGGAACTGCCAGCAGCTGTCAACACACAGACTGTCTCACAGAGCTGGAGCCAAGGCTGGGTTGGCAACCTTAAGTCATGCAGCATAGGAACTCATTTATGCTGATGGCACACAGGTGAATTTTCCTTTCCAAGGGCAGAAGTGCCCCTGTATAGCACAAGATCACCATGGTCCTATTCTGTACAGCCCCTCAAATTTCTCTAGAAAATATTTCACTTGCAGGTCTCTGCTTTTTTTTTTTTCCCCTCTTACTCCTGAGGGACATGACTGGCAGATTAAGTCATGCCTCAGATCTACTAATTAAAAAAACCCAAATAATTACCTCGTGAGCATCCTGGTTTTGGCTGGGACAGAGTTAATTTTCTTCCTAGCAGCTGGCATAGTGCTGTGCTCTGGATTTAGTATGAGAAGAATGCTGATAACTCACTGATGTTTTAGTTGTTGCTGAGCAGTGCTTACAAGTAGTCAGGGACTTTTCAGCTTTTCATGCCCAGCTGACCCCACCTGGCCAAAGGGCTATTCCACACCAGATAACATCATGCTCAGCATAGAAACTGGGGGGAGGTGGCCCGGGGTGGGGGTGGGGCAGCAGTCACTGCTTGGGGACCAGGCTGGGCACTGCTTCCCAGGTCGTGGGCAATTGCATCACTTGTTTTTCCTGGGTTTTGTTCCTCTTTTTGTTGTTGTTGTTTTCCTTTTCACTACAATTTATTGTTATCATTATATTTTATTCTATTTCAATCATTAAACTGTTGTTATCTCAACCCACAAATTTTCTCACTTTTGCCCTTCCAATTCTCTCCCCCATCCTACCAGGTACTCACAAGATGAAGAGTGTTTGATATGCAAAGATTTTGAAGTGCAATACAAAATGAGAAGATGGTGATGGAGTTCTTTTTGTCCTCCTCATCCTTCCTGCACAGGGAAAAACACAACAAATAAGGGGAATTAGAAACCACCAAGAAACGGCAAGTAAGAAGTCAAAGGAGCTGCAGGAGGAAATAAAGGAATGGCAGTTATTTCTCCCTTAAGTCCTCATTCTTACCACTCTCAATGCCTGAAGAGACACAATTGACAAGAACGCCAGGTGGACATATACCCGTTTCATGCAGCAGTGTGGAGCACATTATCAGTACCTACACCTAAACTCATGCAGACCATGAGCCTCACATTCACAGCCCTCGTCCTCACAGGGGACTTCAACCACCCTAATATCTCCTGGAGGGACAACACAGAGAAGAGATGGCTCAGGGGGATCTCATCACTGTAGAATCATAGATTCCTTTGGTTGGAAAAGACCTTTACGATAATCAAGCCCACCATACCTGTCCATTACTAAACCATGTCCCTAAGCACCTCGTCTCTAAGCACCTGTATGTAAATACCTGAAGGGAGGGCACAAAGAGGATGGAGCCAGGCTCTTTTCAGTGGTGCCCAGTGACGGGACCAGAGGCAGTGGGCACAAACTGAAACACAGGAAGTTCCCTCTGAACATCAGGAAATGCTTTTTCACTGTGAGGGTTACCGGGCACTGGCACAGGTTGCAGAGTCTCCATCCTTGGAGATACTCAAAAAACTTCTGAACATGGTCCTGGGCAACCAGCTCTAGGTGGGACCAGATGACCTCCAGAGGTCCTTTCCAACCTCTACCGTTCTGTGAAAAAAAATGCTGGCATTCATTTTCCAACTATCCAGTTATCATCCACCAAACAACCTCTATGGCTAGAACTGCAGGCTCATCAGGCTCTGCAACACTACATGCTTTAGTCTTTGAGAACCCAACATCTTGTGCTGGATGATACCAAATCACCCAGAATGGAGAGAAGTACAGATCAACCCGCATGTTTCAGTTAAGTCGGGGATCATCCCTTACACTGTCTGTTTAAAAGCATGAAGAAAAAGTTATTTGTTCAAAGAAAAAGAATGTATTTGTTTCTTTGAGGATAAACGGACTTGCAATACCTAACCAATACATGCCTTTCACAGTACCCGAAACATTGCTTTAGCCTCAGCAGCTCCTTCAAATCTTACATTTTTTCCAAGTCTGCCTCAATCAATCAAGCTGAACAGTAATCCAGCCACTGGTGATCATACTGAAATGTAACCACATGGGCTACACAAGAAGACAGCATATAGTGTGAGCCTTTAGGTCCAATGTAACACATCTTTACTATGTCCTCTGGATATAACTTACTAAAGACACACTGTAGAGCAACTACACAACTCTGCAGGGTGAGAAGTCAACTTGTAATGCTGTAATAAACCAGTATTTCCTAGATGCTGCTTTCCAAGGCTCGTTCATTATAACCCTTTACTTCCATCTCCAGCAAAATGTTCTGATTGCTAGACAAAACCTAGAATATAAACAATATTCAAAGTCCTGCTTGTTTTCCCTGCCTCCCCCTTTATTAACAAACTTTCACTAAATTCACTGTACCATCTGTCTCAGTAGGAAAAAGCACCCACTATGGCCACCCTCAAAGTCACCCCAGTCATGTGCTGGGTAAAGTGGCTGGGGCCCGTAGCAACTGTTGTGAAATGCAGATGCTGCTCCTTACAAATATAATGTCTTTGGAATTCACTGAGCTTGTCAAGTTGGACTGGGATCTTTAATCAAACAGTATTGTTAAAAAACCCAAACCTAACCTAAAACCACCTGCTAAGCCAGGAATAACTGAGACACACACTTCTACAGACATCATGCTTGCACTATATGATATAAAGTAAAAATGACAAAATAACACTTTTTCTTTCCATGTTCAGATGTCAAAAGACAGGCACATGCCCATATTTCTTCCCTTTCTTCTCTATACCACACTCCCCCCCACCCCCACCCCCCATGGGCTTTATGCTCAGAAAGAGTGGTGGGGATTTAAGCTGGAAATCTGATAAACCCTGAATTTATGTGCTGGAAGAATTATTCTGGAAGAAAGCAAAGGGAAGCCTTGTCCACTAGAAGTTTTTCTGCTTGCTTCTTGGTAGGCTTCCCTAGACCGATCATGTCAAAATAGGAGTTTGCAAACTTCACTTTGTGATCTCAAGGGCTGTAACATCCACATAAGTATTTGTGAAGCCAGCATTACATTGTACCTAGGAATAACTGAAGTCACACTTCCATTTTTGGATGTTTCTGAAGGAATTACATACATGCTGACTGAAAAATGTATTCTGGATAGAAATTAAACAAGCCGATACACCCAACAGAAGGGAAAGAAAAAAAGTCAGGTCTTGACATCAATTTTCTTGAAGCAAAATAAACCACAACAGCCAATCTGACGGAGGAACCAGAGGCAACAACTACACAATCTTTTGGACATTTTGGACAATCTATTTCAGCTCATGAGAACAGATTTATTTTCCCTTAGAATCATAAACATTTGAAGTTATTGACATCGGTCTGTGGGGAAGCAGAATTATTTCAAAGTCCTTCAGTAGAAGATCTTTGCAAATTGCTACTCTTAATGACGTAAAGCAGGACATTTGGAGACCTTACATAACCCAGCTCTGAAGAACAACAAACACTTAAAATATAATTCAGATCCCCAATGCTTCTAAGAGGTCCTGGCACAAGAAGAGAGTCTTTTGCACTTAATCCTTAAAAAGATGCAGCCCCAAGGTCTACAGTTCAGGTTCCCCTACAATGGATACCCCCAGTGTCACTACCAACCATTCTGACGAGGGCGACAGTAGTTTTTCACATTCACTCAATTCTTTTATATTCTGCTACAGATTTAGACATTTGTCACAGTCATTAAACAGTTTAAAAATAATTGGTTGAAAACATACTTTTCAATAAAAAAAAAAGTGGTTAGCACACAAGAACGCTATTAATGAGATACCTCAAAACCTGAAAATATGTGAGGAGTTTCTAGAAATCTCTAGTTAGCCTACATTAAAATACCATTCAGTTCCCTCACTATGCTTCCTACCAGCAGGACAGGTCCACCCAATCCTCATGTGGTAAAGTAGTGCTTTGGGAGCAAAACTTGCTGAACCAGAGATGTGGCACATCTGCTTCTAGACAGTACTTGAGACAGAGGCATTAAAACTGCAATTTTGCCACTGAACCAGTTATCACTGATTCTCAGCACGTCACTTAAGATCTCTCTTTTTCAATTCCACCTCCAGTAAATTGGTTTTGATTACTGAACTTTCAAAACCAAATAAGCAAGTAATAGAGCAGTCTAACACTAATATATATATATAATAATTAAACAAATAATTAAACATATAAAAATTGTCCAGAAGTTCCCGAGAGAGGTTGGTTGGCTGAAAATAAGTGTAGTTTTGCCAGTGTATGGAAAACACATGCACAGAGTCCCCGACTTCACAAATTCTCAGCAGAGTTTTGTACCCCAAAAACTTGGTTTGAACCCAGGAAATTCCCTGATGAAAAATTTCTGGCCAGCAATCCACAATAACCTGACAGACCATCATTGTTTCCCCATCTCCGATGTTTCTAGCTCTCCTCTAAGTTCATACTGATGAAGAGCAACTGTAGCATGAGAAGAGCTCCAGCACTAACAGCAAAGACCCACCGCACATTCCCCAGAAATGTGTTATCACTGAAGACACAGCAGCTCACCAGTACAAAGCACAAGCAAGATAAGCGCTGGATTTTCCCTCAGACCACCACCTCATCACAAACTGAAACCACTCACACAGACAAAGGAGAATCAGAGCACCCCAACCAGAACCTGCATGAAATGCACAAAAGAGGCACAGCTCCTCTGTGAGGATGACAGCTGAGATTAAGAATCTTTTACATCTGTTTTTCCTATCGTGCACAACAGGAGCTCTGTTTGAAGAGCTGTGCAAAGGCATCCTGGACTGCTGCCATACCTGACCCTGCAAATCACTGGTGATAAAACAGCAGAGTATTAACATTGCTAAGGTTACAAACTTGCCCAGTTTCCCCGCTAGATCAACACACTTATCACCACCTTGCAGGCTTTCTCACGAAGCAAGCTGCGATCCCAGCTCACACCAGCAACGTGACACCACACCTTCCAGTGTGCTCTCCCTGATAACTAAAGCCATCCACATCTACCTCTAGCCAAAGTAGCAGCCTGGGAAGAGTTGGAAAGGAGTTATCTAGGAGCCTGACAGAAGCAGTGGCTTATTGCTCCTTGGAGACTTTGAGGCCAGAGGCAACAGCATAGTAAACATCGCATTACCCCAGGGCCTTCAAACCAGTACTTGCAGTCCAAAAGCTGCTGGGTGGCCAGCACCTGGTGGTGTCAGTTCTTTTATTTGTGTTTTGTGGAGGGGCATCAAAATACTTCAAAAGCATTCACCCACTAACTGCTGGCAACTGCCACAGAAACAGTGTGGCCATAAATGAGGAACGATGCAAATGCCAAAGCCTCTCAGCCTTCAAATTAGACGTATATTTAGAAATTCTGTGTTAAACCATAAAATGCAAAACCTCTGAACACTGTGGGTCTCCTAGCAGCAAGACCTGGCTTTGTTGGTTGGGGTCAGCAGGGATTTGATCCCGAGGAGTGACGCTCTTGCTTGTTGCTGCCTCTGGAAGGATTACATTTGTCAGAGAGCCTCTGCGATTCTGCGTCTCTGTGGGAAGCCCTAAGGGGAAAATTAGGGTCTCCTCAGAACTGACAGGAAAATTTAAGACTTCCTCAAAGAAGAAAAGAAGCAAGGCAGAAGAAATCCGAGGGAAGAAGTGGAACTATTCCTAACAATCATGATAATTGCAGTTTTGTAAGTTAGGCTGGCTAGGTGCCCAGAATGGGTAAACAACCCCAAACCAGTTTAACATTATTGCAGTTTGCACAGCCTTGGAGCAAAGCAAAATGACCTCCAACTTTTTAAAAATCTTAGCTACATATTTTGCCCCCATCCCTACATTTTTTATTTGTGTAAATTAATAAACCTATGCTCTAAGCTAGTGGTGAAGTTTGATATTTCTGACAGTAACCATGAGGTTTAGACACATAGCTGTCAGTAAAAGCAAATGGGAAATAAATTTTGCTTAGATCTAAATTTTTAAAATCCCTTATTTAAAATATATTTATGATACATAAACAGCTGATTGTATGCACACAATGCATAATGTGCAGTTTACACATGTATATTGTGCATGGACAACTTAGCCAATAAGTTTACAAGGTTTTGCCCATCATAAGAGTTTTAACCACATTTTTTCAGTAACTTTCTTCTTCTTTTTAAAATATGTTTTACTAACAAGTCACCCAATTACCTTTGTATCAAGACAACTTTGAACTCAATTTTATCCCCGTCACACTGACCTGACATTGTTCCAGGAGAATTTCTGAATTCAACACTTGTGAAGATCAGAAGTGTTCAGAAAACTACAAAACAGGGCCTGCTGGCACAGCTTCAGGATCTTTGCTTTGAAGATTCTTGGTCCAAGACTATATATGATGGGGAAACTTTCACAAGCAATTCTAGGAAGTCTGGAGGTAAATATCGGGCATCCTCCTTGATGACCTCTGTTGTAAACAAAAAAAAAATTTTTTTGGCAGAAGATGGAACAGTGCAATGATTTTGCACTGTTATTTGATCTGCACAAGCTTTTCCTGCCTAGAGAGAGTTAATCTGACTAGTAGTTTTCTTTCTTTAGTAGGAACTATGCATCCCCTGATCAAATCATATGGAAATACCAAATTATAAAAAATCATGTCCTTCAGGTTTACTGAGGGAAGGGGCAGGAGCCACATGAAACAGGAGCCCCTGAAAGGCTGCACACTACACCCTTCCCTGTCTTTTGGATCAGTACTGTATCCAGCCACATGCTTAACATCCTTCATGCCTCTCTGCTGTGTTGACTTTAGCCAACAGCAACCTCAAAGCAGAACTTTACCTCTATTCAGAATAGCTTCTGACAAGGACACGTAAAACTGTTCGCCATCTGAAGAGATCAGCGATACCTGTGAAAGGAACACAGGGTTGCTGGAGGAAGCCTGACACCCTTCTAGCTTGGCCTACCCAAAGCTGCTACTATAAAACCCTAAGGCATTCAGGCTCCTAACCTCCCGTTCACACACGTGTAGGCCATGAGCATTGTTGGCTACAACCTGCCCGAAGTTATATTTACTACCTAATTTTAATAAGTTTATCTTTCTTAATGATCATTTTGTACCAGGAGAGAATAAGCAGTCCCTTAGGATCCTGCTCATTTCTCTTTGGGCCTTTTTAATTTGCTAGCTTCTCAGCCCTTGATGCCAGCTCCCACATGCACAGAACCATATAAATCACAACTTTATCGCATCTGCATCTTTTCTAATAAAAAGAAAGCCCATTTCTCTCCTAACATTATGTCAGTATTCCTCTTTGAAGTCCCATGGAGCTGCAGCTGATTCATACCAGATTACAAAAAATGACTGGAGCAAAGCAATCTTTTGGTTGCCTTCATTCAAGCCCTTCAGTCTCTTTTGCTGTTATCCATCTTTCCCACAAATCCAACTTGATGCCGACTAACACAATGCACAGCATGCTGGCTCAAGACTCGCTGTTTATGCTACTCTTGACACTTCTCTTTTCCCTGCCCCCTACATCTCAGTGCTTTATTTATTCTTCTGACTTGTGCCAAACACTGAAGTCCCAGTCCGAGTTTTCAGTTCACTCTCATCCCTAGCTCTTATTCTATAGCTGCCTCCTGCCTTTCCTCATAAACATTATCAGGTTTGAGAAACTCAGTCTTTTTCATACCTGCCATGTATTTACAAAATGGACAACCATAGTTTATTGTCCACGCCCCGCCCCGCCCCCCCCCCCCCAAAAAACCCCAACAACCCCAACACACCACC